TTTTTTTTGCCACACTCAGAGAAGATCATGTCTGTCTTCACAGCAGTTCAGTCCAGCACTCCTGTGATTAATAGCCCCTGGGTGGCTCCATCCTCCTCCTCCTCTAACATGGCCAATCCTTGGGCTCCGTGTACCAACTCACACCCGGATCCTTGGGAAGCGGCACCTGCCCTCTCCAGTCCTCTTAATAATGCGTGGGACAGCCCAACAGATGGTGGTACTTTACACTTTGTCCTTTATCAGACGTCACAAAGGCACGGTAGAATGCACATACAGCCTCACAAGCATCCTTATCCGTTGAAGTGTTTCACATTTCAGCACTTAATGACCACAAACCTGTGTGTTTTAGTCTGGGTTTCATGTTATAAAACCCACAGAAAGTATATCATAGCTAGAAAGTGAAAGAAAAACGGTACATATGTTTATTTATCTTTGAGAAAAAAATTCAAATTGTGGCATCCATTTGTATTTTGCTGATTGGACCATGCTGACAAGTAAATGTGCTGTAATCTCAACTTTCTTCAGTAGCTCTGGCTGTATGTTCGGGGTTGATGATGAACTGTGCCATAGTCTCAAGTCTTGTTGGCCTAAAAAGGTTATCTTTCAAGATCTTTAAAAACATGTTTTTTTACATATTTTGTAAACTGTCACTATGTATAATCTAATGCATATAATATGTGAAAAAATGTAGCTCCTATTCCTCCTCCCTATTGTCTTGAAGTCAACTGCAGAAATGCGCCGCTTTCAGTCAGAAACAACCAATCAGAGTCAGGTGGAGGGCTTTAGTACTGCCAATCACACTCGTGAATATGCTGCTCCCCTGAAAAAGACAACCTAACATTATAGGAAAACTGGTTATCCGCTATATCTATGCTTACTAGCCTGATCATTCACTGCAGGCTGTGCTACGAGGAACTACCAAGGGGGAAGGGTGTTAGCAGTACGTAAAATCCCAAAAAGCACAAAATCCCCTCCGACCATCAATGAACTTTTCGCGCTCTAAGGTCACTTTAAATTTGTAAACCCATAAGTACTATATTCTATCTGTTCTGTTTCAATCACTTTTCATTTTCCCACACACAGAACAGGAAGGGACTGATCCGTTCACTGCACAGGAAGAAGAAAAGCCTCAGCAGGAAGTTCCCAAAGCGTCCTCTCCGGAGCCCGCCAGCCCAACAGGTGGGGAGACAAATTAACACATTTGGCTAATTTAGCTGTAACCTTCTTAAAGTCAGCAGAACTCACGCTGGAGTTTTTCTGCAGCCGTTGTTCACACTTCACAGAGGGAGATGCTCTTCTTGGAATGCATTAACGCAGGGACTAACATGAGGGATAGAGGGAGATTGTTGTTTTAGCATGAGCGAGAGGTGAGAAATACAGCGTTGAGAACAAGCGTTTAACCCTCACAGATTTCCAAGGTTTTTGCTATTTTGGTAGTGTACAATTGTTCAGATTATCAGCCTTATTTTAATATAAAAAAAATAACCTTTTTTTTTTTTTTTAGTTTTTTTGTTGCATTGAATAAATCCTGCAT